TAAGATACATATGTGGACCTAGGTCACCTACGGCTGGGTAAGGCCCTGCTAGTCGAAATAAAAAAAAAAAAAAAAAATTTAATTACATCAAAATTGTATAATTATGTCATGTGTTATATTAATTATGCCATTGTAAAAATTTTAAATAATTGTATCATCAGTAAATTAATTTCTATTACATATATATAGAAGACTATTCTATTACTAGTATATATCCAGGTATGGCATAAAAGCTTTTAGATATATACTTTTAGATGAAATCTTTTTCAGAATTATTATATAAAAAGTTAAAAAAAGATCTTATTTTTATAATATGTTTTCAAATATGTTTTCAGGATAGGTAACTTTAGTAATATTATATAATAGATATGGGAGAAACCTATCTATTTAACAATATGTTTTTAAATATATTTTTAGATAAATAATATCAAATTTATTTATAGATATATATCTGCCTTTCTATATATTTAATTAAAGTTAATCCATTTTTTACTATCTGTTTCTATGGCATATTTTTGAATATTTCTAGTATCAAGGGCTAGAAATAGGGCTCCTAACAATACTACTTCGATACCTGTTCGATATCAATTTGATACTTAAATTTACTATAAATTCATATAAGTGAGTCATAACCCATATATTAAATTTACTATAGATTGATACTATTTCAATACCATTTTGATACCAGTTCAATACTTTTCAGAACCCTAGCTAGAAATGATAATATAATTGTATTATAATTATCAAACATGTGATGAGGCCAGTCTATAGCATAACCTATATTAGCTATTTCAATATATCCAATAGCATATATTCTTACTATTTGTTTTATAAGTGATATATAAATTATAATTGATACATTTAACTCATGAAAATATCAACTCGAGTAATATAACCTATTTTAAATATTTTATTGCAATAGAAATTAGTTAAAATTATTAAGCTAATATATAATATTAAATAATATATAAAATATATTTGATTTATCAAATATGCAATATGACTAATTGGCTTATTATAATTTAATTTAAATATTTCTATTTATTAAAAATCAATCAGAAATATTAACTAGTATATAAAAATTTATATAAGTAATAAAACATTATTGATATCAAATTTAATTTTCTAAATAATATCCAAACCATCTATTTACTAAATAATCAATTTTTATTATCAAGCTACTAACAATTGCAATTAATTTTTGTTATTAAGTTATTGACCATTGTAATCAATTTTTTTTATTAAGTCATTAATCATTGCAATAAATTTTTGTTATTAAGCCATCAACCAATGTGATTAATTTTTATTATTAAATCACTGACCAATGTAATCAATTTTTGTTATTAAGCCACCAACCAATATAATCAATTTTTGTTATTAAGCCACATAGCACAATCTAAACTAAGTGGAAATAACATAATTATATTATTTCCACTTATATTGCTATATAAAAAAATTATTATTAAATAAATTATTTCTTAAATTAAAATTCGGTATTTACAATTGTTTTTAAAATTTTTTATATTAGATAGTATACAGTAAGTTGATTAAATAACATTTAAAACAATTATATCAGCCATTGATCAATATTTTCTATTTAATAAGGCACATCTAGCATACAAACATGTATGCAGGTTCGAGATCTAAAAGATGGAGAACAATTTCATGCTAAAATATCAAATATCATTACATTTATTAAAGATTTTTATTTGTGAACTGGTTTTCTAATAAGAAAATGTTACAAATGGAAGGAGTAAATGATGGGTAATAATGCGTAAATAATAAAATACACATTGCGCCACATCATGTAAAATGAATCTATTATACAAGTTTGTTAAAACAGGAATATTACGAAATTTTGCATAAAGCATAAAATCGAAAGTTTTGAAAAAAAATTAGCCAAGTTTTCTAATAAGTGTAGATGTATGTATAATAATAAAAAAAAAAAAAATTAAAAAATACAATTATGAAACATGATATTTTGTAAATGTAAATTAAATGAATAATAAAACAAATAGTAAAAAATCAAAAAATTTATACATTAGTTGAATCAGTATGAACCATTTCTACTTGGATTGTCGGCATTACGACCGTGTTTTGATTTTTTTGATTTTTTTGATTTTTTTCGAGTGAAGCTTTGGCCAACTTATCATCACTCTTCCTGATCTGTCTAACTATATCAAGATCATCAGGAAACCACCACTGCTTCACAAATGTTATTACGTA